GATGATGATGATGATGAAGCCGACAGCTTGGATGGCGCCGCGGCGTTCGCGGCACCCGTTGCCGGTCGTGGAGCCGGTTGCGGTTGTGAGCTTGAGGGTTTTGCGCGCGAAGCGTCCGGTGTGTACGAAGTGATTGATCGCCGCACGCGTTGGCTGGAGCGCAAAAGCTTCGCTCTTAACGTGAAAGAAATCGTCGGCATCCTGCGCCCCCGCCATTGTGGGCCAGAACTTTCGTAGATTACTGAGATATACAACTCTTTTACTGTGCTAAGTAGCAGACGCATTGCAAGTTTGTCCTACTTGCGATCTGCGTCTGTGCTCTGCTGCCGCAAGCTGTGGCGCGAGGCGCAAAGACTGAGGATCTTCGTGCTGACTGTGTCGGACTTTTACGACCTTCTTCGTGCGGCTTTGGAGCCGGTGGAACAACCTCTGCGAAAAGTTGCAGCCTCACATTGGGTCAGAAGGAACGTAGCCGCGGGCTGGCCTGCCCGTTCCCCCAATGTCGCCACTCAATTTACTGTGAGTGACTGCCATGCTGCTGTAGCATGCCCGTAACGTGCCCCTTACGGGTTTGTGGCGCACGGCTTGATCCTAAGGACGCAGCACGTGGCACGTCCTGCGCGTGCGTTTACACCAGGGCACGCCCTCGCCGCGATCCTGCATGCAGGGTCCGAGAGGTCTCCTTTGGAACGATCTGAAAACCGAGCGCGGACCTGCGCGACCGTTTTCAAAAGAGAATTCTTCTGCTCGCGCAGAGAAGACCAAAGGCTGCCGCACGGGCACCTTCGTTGTGCCACCGCCTGTGGCGCCGCCTAGCCACAGTCCGCGTCGGCGCAGGCACGTTCGCTCCGCCCCCGTGCTGCTCGTTCGTTCCCGGTACTCCCCGCGCTACCGCAGGACCAGGCTGCTCCAATCACCGCCGTATCGCCATCGTTTTCACTCCTGCGTGTCGCTCCACTGGTATGCACTGCACTTAGCTCTACTGGACTAGAAAATAACTATACTAAGAAATGTAAAACAACATACCAGGTCGCCTCGAAGACGGGCTGTCCTCCTCTTCATCTTCGCGCGCGGCTTCTTGCGCCTGGCGCACCGCGTCGGCGTCTATGTCCCAGCCCACTATGTGGGCGAAAGGAAAAAAGTCTCGCCAGACGCGCAGGCTGGGGCCCGGGCGGTATCGGGCGTCCTTCGTGTCGCGGTACTCGGCCATGCTACCTGGAGTCCGCGCACCAACGCTCCCGATCCCAATCTCCAATACGTTTCGCACCTCGCAACGCTTCTGCCCTATACATTGCAAAATATATCGCACTTGTAGATGAGTTTGCAATGAAGAATGAAGTTCTTAAAACAGATTTTTGAGCCGCGGCTTTCGTCTAAGACTGGCATGTGTCACACGACTCGCCACGCATGATTGCAAGTAGAAGTACGAATGCGATACAACTTTTGCACAGCATACGCCCGACATTCATGGCAAACCTACCGAACAACCCCCGGCAAAAACATATATTTAGCGCAACCTTCTTCGGCACTGTAGTAGCTGCCAAGGCAGGGTGCAAAAACAAATGCGATGAACCATAGTAGCATCATATAATCAGCAGAGAGAGAGAGTCATACACTGACAGCGCTGGAATTGCGACTGCGTTATCCAACGCTCACCTTAACAAAAGTAAGGACTCAAAATCTTTACGGTTTCGTAGATGAGTTATTTTTCATGTTTTCTGTGTACGTGTACGGTATACGCAGACGCAACTTTTGTGCTGGATATCCAAACACGGAATCATACACAGCCCCGTACTTGTGGTGGACGGAGCCGCGGTCGCTTCCGTGGTAGTCGAACAGGGCATTCTATCAACTGCAAATATCCGTCGCTCTAGGTCTGAAAACGATAGATTGATGACGGAGTCAAGCACATGATCGATCCGCCCTTGTGCTGTTCTTGCATGCCTCGGAAGCAGGGCCGAGGGAGAGCCAGGCTGAACTACAGCCATAAATTTCACTAAAAGGAACAAAACAGCGCTTAATATTTCTTCGTCATGCAAGAAGAATGCAGTTTTTCATGCGCATCGGCATGACGAGAAGAGAGCGCGTTCATATTCGCAAATTCAATCGTGCTATCTGACCGGAAAACGTGAAGCGTAGTATCCTATGTCAGATGGTTGTTGTATCACGTCGATGGAAAGCATCACAGGTTTGCAGACCCGAACGGAGCAGCTGTGCTAGTTGATATATCCAGCACCGACGCAACTTTCGTCGCTCGAACAGGCGGAGTATGCACTACAAATGCATTTGGGTGGTTGTGTCCTGCAAATTTTGGATAAAGAAATTCAGCCGGTCTTATTTTTTGCATGCTGTGATAACTCAGTTACAGTTTCTCAAGCGAAACACTTATGAAAAAGTTGCAACAAGCAATCCAAAAATTGTGACGCGTTTACGCCGTACATAAGAGAATTTTCTCATCATGGAAAAGCTTGCACACCCAATGGGGTCCGTCTTTGCAGAATACCCCGACAGATGATTTGCTTTTGGTACGGACGAAGCACCTCTGTAGGGCGTTTGCTGCATGTATCGCGTAGATCACGCACCAACGCAAGATATTCCGCTTTGGTCAAGGTCTTCCTGTTCACGGCTTGACCGTATGCGGCCAGAGGGATCGCCGTTACCCCTCTTTGGTGCTGTGCGCCAGGTGAACGAGGAAAATAAGGAGCAACATGGTGCAAAAAGATGACAATCGCTGCCCCAAGATTGGTCGCCCAGCGGATTTTCTTGGCAACCAACAAAACAACTTGCTGCGCCATACAGTATCTTGCAGCGCATAACATCGGGAAGCAGACACCAACAGGAGTGAACCCGAACGGAAAAACGAAAAAGCTGAAAAGACCTTACTTGTTAGCTTTACACAGCATGACTTCATCAAAGTCATCGTTGATCCACATGCACGTCGTCCAACAACAGCACAGTCATTTCTGTGATTATGCAGCTGATCTTTCATCGATTTGACTGGCGAAACTTTGAATGAAGATTATAGTGTCAGATCTAGTGAAAGCTTCAGAAGTTTTGCAAAAAAGCCACCTTTGACACTTGGTGCTCCGCTTCAACATCTTCCTCCAAGAACTCCAAGAAGTACAAATACAAAATAGAAATATGACCTCACTACATCTACATACAAAGAAAAAGAGAGGGAGAGTCACTTTCTAGTGCGTTGCAGAACAGCATTTGATCTGCTCAGGGCAGTTCGGAAGAATCTTCATCTATCTTCAGACCACACAAGCAATAGGAGTCAGGGACGGTAAACGGCTAGAGAGGGACAGTGTTTGTGTTGATGCCTGAGCCTGTTCATTCTGATGTTCATCTTTCCGACGGTTCATTTATTTTTTCTTCAATTATACAATACAGATCCTTTCACCACAGCACGCATTTGAAAATCAGGCTCACCTTTGCGCCCAGGAGCATCTACTCCATGAGAGCAGTTACATGCCGCACCATGAAAATGTTTCAGCTTATTCAATACCGAGTGCAATGAAAGGCGGGCGTCCAGCAATGCTAGAAGGTACTACAGGTAGTATTCCTAGTATATCAGTAAGTCGAAGTCCATGTCAATCTCAATGAGAGCATGAAATAATACTAGGTAGTGAATTTTAAAAAAAACTGTAAATTAAAAAAAAAATGTAATGGCTGGCTGCGTGTTGCAGTCAACAGTATTACCTGGTCTTGGTCAGCAGCAGCACTCACCCTCAGCCATTATCATGACAACAAATAAACTTTCAGACCGAGGAGACACACACACATTTGTCCTCTTGCAACATGATGTACAAGCATCCCGCTACACTGCCGCCGAGCAGAGGCGCAATAGTTCGCCAGTGTGCGCGTCGATGTTGACGCGGAGAGTCTCCCCCGGAGCCACAGCTATGGGCGTGACAAATCGCACCACCAAGGGCGTCCATACCAGCTCCCTGACCGCGTTGAACGTGTTTGCCTTAAAAACTCCATGCGCCTCCTTGTTCATCTGGGAGGTGCTGTTGCCCCGGTTATGCGGGGTTTCGACGGATGATGAATAAATGCGTGGTGTGAATATCGACTGATTGTCTAAGCAGGAAGAAGTCGAATAGACTTTGTAGGCGCCGGCGTCATGATCGTTTGTGACCCGCGTTCCCGTTGCCGGGTCTGGCTCTGGGTCGACCTTCTTGCTGTGTGGTTGTTCTTGAACAAGAACACGACCACGACGATCAGGCAGCTGATTTTTGATATCATCTCGACAGATGGCCCAATCCAGGATAATGGCATCGAGTGTCTGCTGTCTTACGACCTCAGCGCCAGCTGGACCATCTCCAGCAACAAGAATGTCAGCTTGCATGATTTTTCGAGACCCGCCGCCCGTGCGCATGGAGAAATCCAAGTGGAGACCCAGAGTCCTGGCGGATAAAAATTCAAAAGGAGCGGACAAGAATTCATCGCTGCTCCCTGCTTCTGTACCCCTATCGGCGCTGGCAAACGCTCTTGCCGGCGGCTCTTTTAGTACTACTTCTCGTGCCGAGATGACGTTCTCATCCTCGTCTTTCATCTTCGAACGACTTGCCAACTTATTTCCTGGCGACCTTCTTCTGCCGATGACCGCGCCTTGGAAGAGAGACGGCATCAAGGATGGGTGAAGGTCATGAACTAGGCTGCTTAAGGGCTTTAGTTCGGAAGCGGGTACGTGGCGTCGTGTGCCAGGAGTAAAAGACGCTCGTCGGGCAGCATCAAGACGCGCTGCCCGAGCAGGAAAAGCCTCATCACGAAGGCATGACGGAATTTTCATACTGCTACTTGTACTTCTTCCGTCCAGGTACGCACTCGACGATAACGCTGATGTTGCCTGTAGAGGAGAACGAGAAGAACCTAGCATCCCCAAGTCGCGGACAAGGCTTGTTCTGCGCGGCCCCAGGAACGACCGGGTGGATGGAGGCAACTGAGTGATTGTTCTTGTTGCAGCAGCTGCTTCACTTGTTGTTTTGGCCTGCCCTGCTGCCTCTCGCCGGTCGTCTCCAAAGATGAGGCCCCTTGATGGCCGTGAAGGCGTGTTTTCGTCTTTGCCACCGGCGCGAGGTCGAGGTGAGGTCGGTTGGTTCTCGTCCCTTTCAGAAGTGCTGCCAGGGCGTTTCCGTGTCGTCCGTTCGTCTTCTTGTTCTTGCCGAGCAGATGAAAACGTAACAAGTTGCATGTACTGGCGGCCGTTTTCAGGCAGCACAGCGTGCGCCCCGAAGCGACGAACTGCATCTGCAATCGACAGATCAGCGTATTCGCCCAGGAGTAGCGAGCCAAAGGTCTCCGTGACCAGCAGGTCAAAGAGTGGCTGCTGAAACCCGTCATCGTTTTCTTGCCTCACTTTTTGGTCCTCAGCCCTCCTGACGAGTTGTCGTGAAAGTATCACACTAGATGAGCCTGCCGCCGGGAGGGCACCATTGTCTATTGCGTCGGGTCGTCGTCTCTGAAGTTGCCCTTCCGAATGAGCGGAAGCGGTGCTGCTTCCGATACTATCCAGAGCCGCTTGCATTTCTTCGCGGGCTATTTGCCAAGTCGGTCGCGCTACCAGTGCAATTCTTGCGCTCACCCCAAAATCGAAGAACGCTTGCTGAGCAATCACAGCTATCTCTGGATTTCCTTCTACCGCTACCACGTCGGCATTGGGGTATTGCTTGGCCGCAAGGATGGCTAGTATGCCGCTGCCCGATCCGAGGTCCAAAATCTGGCACCCCTGCCTATGCGTTTTTTTTTGTTTCAAGGGGCCTGTTGGTGTCGGTGTCGCGCCAAGTATGTCGTTCGCTGAAGCGGCATCTTGCCCTTCTTGCAGCTCATAATCTTTCTGGTTCTCTCGTGTAACCTGCGGTCCGCAATATGAACGGTCTTGTAATGCCTTCTGATAGAATTTCAGACGTGCGTGGTCCTGCAAGAACAGTATATGCTTCCACACTGCTACACACCAAGAGTTGGATGTATAGCGGTTGACTTCCTCAACGCTGGTTGTTCTCCGAAACGGAGCGCCTGTAGTCGTCTTCCGGCACTGCAAGTCGGCATGGTTATTAACAACACCAACAGAGAGCGAGTTTCTCAAAATGCGCCCGATGTGGTCCATCGATTTGGTCGTAATATCTTCACTCTTTGCATATGATGCGGGTCTGACGCTGGTACTGTCGTGTCCGTCTTGGGCCTCTTGACGATTTGCATTGGAGACAGTGACAGTGTAATTTCCGAGACTGGGATGGTTTGGCCTTTTCTGCCGACCAAGTGTCTTCTTGCTGCTCTGGCAATCCTCGTTTGCTCTCGCCAGAGCACGATCAGTCATCGTTTGGTGCACCGCGTCAGGGGTGAGAACTGCCAAAAGAGCAGCGTAAATCTCGCAAAAAGTAACGTGGTACCTCGCTTCGTTCGATAGTACGGCAGCATCGTCTCGAACAATTATTGGAGATAGTAAGCTTTGAGTGGCGGTCCTTTTTTCCACGATGCTGGAAAAGGGCACCAATTTTGTCCCTGGCTCTGGTTGTTTGTGCCTTTGGGCCTGAAAATGCTTTTCCCAGTGCGCGCCCGCGTTCTTGAGAGTAGCGGCCTCCATCTTCGCGTTCGCCATGGCACGTGCATCAACTTCGTGACTCTCGGTGCGACATGAAGGGCCACCGAAATCGTCGAGGTCCTTTGTTTTATTCCTCGCACATGCTGAGTTCATCTGTGCCGCTCCGGCTCGTCCTGCTGGGCTTATAATTACTGCAGATGAAGCCGAATCCCGTTCGTCTTTGGGTGGCTGTTGTGATGAAATCACGCATGTTGTAAAAAAGAAAATGGCCAGTGCAGTGACACACGCCCACAATATCAAGGCAAAGAGAATACAAACGAATTGAGGCTCTTGATAAACGAAGTGGAAGTAGCTGCGGCCACTGGGGATGCCCCCGCGCGCGCGCCCACAGCCAGACAACATCATGCAACTTTATTCGCAGTGGCTGCCGGCTCTAGTAGATCTATAGCAATGTTTAGTTTGCAGCTCAGCTCACATTTCGCCTTCGCTGTCCTTGCTGAATGGGCCAGGGCATGCTCTTGAACTTGATCTTCTTCATGCTTGTTGTTACTTCAACTGTCCATAGTCAACGCAAGTAAGTAGCATCGACCGAGTCTTTTTGAACAGCGACAAGACAGAGAAGGCTGCGCGTTTCGAAGATCTCAAAATCAAGAGCATAGTTACCACGAATCGATGAACCACAGATCAGAATGCATGACGTGTACATACTCTTCTTGTTGAGCTGGGCGAAATGATCCTTGATGAAACAGAAACAGAACACATATCCTAGCAGGTGCTGCAAATTTTTCCACGAATCCACAGTCCTTCATAGTGGGCTACGACGTCTAAGTACATGTAGTACAATGATGAGTGTATTGATCCATACTGTTGTGTATCAGACTGATCAAACACTCGGCGAAAGATGAAACTTGGAAGCCAGCGTGTAGTCTAACAACTTTGATTGTTCGCACCAGTTGTAGGTCTTCTAGTCGCGAACCTCGTGTCCAGCACTGCAACTGCTTTTTTCAAAAGTTCCAAACCCGTAATCGGATTGGTCGTGCGCTGCTGCGCGTCGCGGTCGCGCCATAATAAAAGGGGACCACCACCACCACGTCAACTTCCATACAATTCGTACTACTGCTACTCCGAGTCCGTAGTGGTAGTCGTCCGTCTCGGTCTCCGTACCATAAAACAAAGAACTATAGATACTGAATCTTCTAGTAGAAGAACAGCATTTTCTCGACCTCTTACTGACGTCAGTTTTAGAGTTGGATGGTGCGTGAGTCGTAGTCTGCCTCATCTAGCTTCTGCAACAGCAAAATCCCAACGTTAACGAAGGCGAACGCGAAGGTATCGTGAAATTTGATTCAGAAGGAAGTGGTGCTTTCATCTACGCGCCCCTTCCAGAGAATCTCTTCAGAGTTCCTGGCCGAACTGTATCAAGAGTAAAAACATCCCCACTCCAGAGTCCAGATGGTGGGCATTTTGCTAGACAAACGAACAAGATACGTGTGCTGCGCATGACATAAGTAAACAAACTGCGCGGCTGAACAGACAAACTTGTTGGGGTCGGAGTGCAATCCTTATCGAAACTGAAACTGAAACACATCACAGATCGATCATTTCATGCTGATTTATTTTACCACGACAACCTGCCAGATGACCGCATTAGAATGGTCCTCATGGGGCTATGCGTGAGAAATGTTTGAGGCTTTCAGATTTGCACGACATGTTTGGGGTGGGGACGCTTTTACACAGGATAAGCTGGATTTTTTGGCGATAAACCGCTTCGAATTCCTGGATCCTTTTCTCGCGAAAATCGCGAAAAGCTGGATTTTATGCATCGCAAAAGTATCGCACTAGTCGCATTTTTGCAAATTTTTCCAAATAGAAAAATGGAATTTGTCCTGCAGATTCAGGTATGCAATGCTAGACTGTTTTTTTACACGACGGAGAAGTGCGATACTTTTGCAGTGGATAGATCCTCTTTTTCCCAGCGTTGCACGCGTTTGCGGATAGTACGAATGACGCGTCTCGTCTCTCCCTCCTGCACCACGACGAGTGCAGCTGCTGTGGACGAGCCAGTGTCGGTTACGACGTTGTTGTTCGCTAATTGTGGACCTCCTTCATCTCCGGCAGCAGGCGTCTGGTCTTGCTGTGCGGTCATCTCCACCCCCCTTGAGGTCGCGGCACCGGCACCTCCCGGGGTCGCCGCAGTACCCGGACGGGCCTTCGACGTTGCAGGGACTAGGACAGCACCAGTAGTCGCCATCGTTGCGCTGCCGCTGACGCCCACACCTGGAGACGCGGCCTTTGCGGGTACGGACGTCCTCCCTGGGGGGGAAAAGCCCTCTTCTCCTGCGGGGGTCGCGGCGGCGGCCGCTGCTGTGGGTGTCGTCGTAGTCGCTACAGCGGGGAACTATCAAGAGGAAAGAACGGACATCACGACAACTCCCAACAACATTGATCTTCGTTCCAGTCGCGTACTAGTTCGTGGCTATTATTCAATTCTCTTCATTCATGCAAAAGTTTTTGCCAGAGTAGTTATCAACCACACGCAACATCAAGTGGTCTGCAGATACAGGCAGCCAAGATGGTCACGCCACTGTGATAGATTTGAATAGCCGCGAAACACGCGCCGGAGAAACATTTTTATCTTCAATGCTCAACTTTGGCTAAACTTGAATCCTTCAATGGCTTTGTGGATGTGGACGAGAGAACTTGCAGAAGTCACTGAGCTTCGCTCCCACCTCGATAGTACACATACATGACAATTGATTCGCTAGCAGGAGATGCAAAGCTTTCTACATACTGTTAACAGGAATTGTAAGTGCTAAAGTAGTACTTAAATAGTCGTTGCCGTTGGAAGATCGTGATTGAGTGAAGAGTTAGGTGTTTCCTTTGGATACTGGTGCTGACTTTTTCAGGGCGGGAGGCGCAGCGAGCAGGACAGGCGCGCTGCTCTTTCCGACTGAAGCGGACTTTGCAAATGACGCCGGAGGTGGCGTCGCCTTTGAAATGGCAGCCGGGACCGGCCCTGGCTGCACCGGAGCCGGAGCGGAAGGAGCTGACGAAGAAGCAGCAGCCGACGCAGACGCAGTTGCCTGTTGCCCCCCACGACCGTTCTCATCCGTGACAAGATCATCCGTTAGCGCTGGAGCGGAGGAGTCCCCTCCGGCGGGGGCGTCCGCGACGTCAACCGGGGAGGTACTCCCGAACACGGCCTCCTGCTTTGTTCCCGCTTCGTCCAACGCCTGGGGTTCTTCGGCGCTGTCTTCTCTAATATGGCCCCCTCAGATGCGACCACCGCCATGAGCTCAAACTACGGTTAACCAGAACAACTAGCTACTACCAGAATGCACAAGTAGAAGCACGATCATTCACATACTAATAGCATAACAAGGCTAGCAGATGATGATCAATTCAACCTGCTAAATCAATAAAATCATACTGCAGCACCGAACTTCATTATTATTGCCTTCTACATCTGTGTCTGTTGCTGTTCGTGCTCAACTCGCCGAAAATGCAACTGGTGACCATCAAGTACTGCAAACAGCAACAAATACAAAACACATTTTGATTTTGGTTTTGCCATCACACATAATCATACACAACTACCACTACGAGCACCATCGGATAATTCTGTATAAATGCATACTTATGCACTTGCACAGGAGAGATGGAGGTGGTCACAGGGGAGCGGGCCAGCATACTGTTGCGGCGCTCCACTGCCATTTGCATCTGGCTTTGGTGCCGCTTCCTCCAAGACTTCTGCCGTCGAGTTATCATCGGCTCCGCCCGACGCGGAGCCTTCCACCATCTCCTGGTGCACGACCTCTGCGCTTTCCGCGGGCGATGGTGACTGCGCGGGCGTTGATGCGGGATCTGCTTCCAGGGGGGGCAGCGGAGTGCTCAGGTCAACGAGGGCGTCTGCTGGTCCACCTCCCGGAGCCGGGGGATCGCCGGTCGGACCGGTAGCCGGACTTGGGGACGCACTGTTCGGGAGCACGGCCGCGGATGCGGCTTTGGCTTTTGCCTGGGGAGCCAACATGACGCGGCTCGCGCTCTTAGGCGCAATTATCGGGTTGAAGGCGGCCGGGTTCATCGTCGTGCTCGTGTCACCGGCCATCATGGGTTGCTGGTTCATGTTCAACATCGCATTAGTGCTGTTCATCCCCATATTGTTCATCGCGTTCATCCCAGCAAAGTTGCTGCTGTTCATGAAATTATTCTTGTTGTTGTTCATGGCGGGCCCCTTCATCATCAGGTTCGGGTTGTAATTATTAAAATTGTTTTTCATCATCTTGCCCCCACCTTTGTTTTTGTTGATGAAGGTGTTGTTCTTGATATTGTCGAAGCCAGGCTGGTAACCGCCCGCGTTCTTCATCATGTTCATGTTCATCTTGTTGTTGCCCATCATCATATTGTTCTGAGGAAATCCTGGCGCCGCTCCACCGCCCTTCATCTTACCGCTGTTCATCATCATTCCCGGTGCAAACGCGCCGCTCGCGTTATTTGGACCACCAGCAGGTCCCATCATTCCAGGAACGCCTCCCGGCTGCTGTTGCGTCATCATCTTGTTTTTTCCGCCCGGGAAAGGTAGGGCATTTTTGCTGTCTGGCTTCCCGCCCGGTGGCACGACCCCGTTGTAGGGCGGAGGTGGCACTCCGCCATATTTGCTGGCAGCCTTCGCGGAAGTGGGGGTCAACGCCGGGGGCATGGTATCACCTCCGGGTGCGGCAGCAGGCGCCACCTCTGGAGATGACGAGGGGGCAAACGGGTCTTCACCAGGATTACTCATGATCGCGCCTTCCTTCCCGCCAAAGAACATCACGTCGCCACCGCCTTTGCCATTCATCATATCGCTTACCTGCTGAGAGGACACATGATCGCCCATCATCAGTGACGGATCCGAAAATTGCGGCAACTCCATATCCGGCCCACCGAAGTTGTCCTCGTCCAGCCCTCCGGGCATGGGAAAGGAGGGCTTCCCGCCACCCTTCATGCCGAAAAACTGCTCTTCGTCGCTGTCGTCGTTTGCGTGCATGTTGCTGTCCAGCCCGCCAAATGGGTTCATGAGAGAATCGGGGTCGAAAGTGCCGATCGGATCGGTGCAATTCTCATTCTCGATCGATGGCGCTCCCGGTCGGGCTGCAGCTTCGTCGCTTTTCATCTTCGTCTTCCCCGTGGGCTGATGAACTTGTTCTATGCCGCGGCTGCAACAAACACGAGACGTGGTCCTGGCTGGTGTTGTGCCGCTTGCCAAGAGCAGGTCGGGATCGAAGGTACCGATTTTGTCCTTTTTACTCTTGTCCTTCTTTTCTTTTTTGTCCTTCTTCTTTTTTTTCGACGCAGGCACCACCTCCTCGAGACTGTCGTCACTTTCCGCTTTGTCACGCTTTTTCTTCTTTTCCTTTTTGCCGAGCGTTTTTTCATTTTCTGTGGCCGTGTCTTTTGACGTTTTCGTTTTCTCCCGCTGCTCCGCCGCGGCGGCGATTTGCATCTGCTTCGCCCGGGGGTTGGGCTGCAAATCGATAACCCTGCTGGTCCCCTTCGTGTTCTTACTTTCCGCGGCCACAATCAAAACGGGGGCCGGGGACGGATCGCTTCGCTCCCCTTTGTCCAGGGCGGGATCCGATATATCGGACGGCACCACCGAGGGGATGGAGGAGGAACGACTGGAGCGAAATGGCTGCTCCGCTGGTACATACGCACCAACAGACGATCGAACGACGACGTCTCGGTCTCGCTCTCGTCCGCGAGAAGCTGGCTGCGCATCTTCAGTGGCCTTGTTCTTTGCGTTGCCTTTGTCCACCTTGGCGCGCTCGCGACCGCGGCTTTCGTCTCCCCGACGTCCACCTCCTTCGCGACGACCGCCAGTGGTGTTGCGATCAGAAGCAGCCGCAGCCCTTGTTCCTGCTGTGGCTTCCTTTTTACTTTTGCGCCAACCACCGTCGCGCGAATCTTTCTCTTGTTCTTCGGGCTTCTCCTGCCGGTCACGATGATCTCGCCGCACTCCATCACGACCACGGGTCGAGGTTTTCGCGTCGTACCCGCGATCGTCCTTGTAATCATTGTTGTACGCAAGATCCTTGTTTTTGGTTCTTTCACGCCCGGCCGCACCATCGTCCTTCACCTTGGTGTCCCGCCCCCGGCGGTCCGGCTCCTCTCGCTCTTGCCCACTCGTCCTCATCTTGGCGCCATAGTAATTATCGTCGTCATCGTCCAGCAGCGCGTCACTTCGTAGCCCCCGCCCTTTGTCGTTGTACTCGCCTCGCTTGCGGGTCGGCTCCTTGTCGTGCTGGCGGTCCGCCGCTTGTTTGTAGTTGTAGGTCGAAGGCGCCGACTCTTTTTTTCCCTTGTAGGCGGCGCCATAGGTGGGATCATCGTCGCGGCGACGGTCGTCTTTGTCCTTGTTCTTGTCTCCTCTTCCGGGGGACCGCCGGTTGTTCCACTCGTTCGCCCATTTGTCCGCCTGAGCTTTGCCTTCATTCACGCGCTTGTCATCGCGCTCTGTTTCTCGCCTCCCCCGTTGGCCGCTGGCTGCGCGCGCGCTCTGACCTACTTCCCGGCCCTGTGCTTGCTTTCCCGCATCGCGGTCCTTGGTCCCGCGTTCCCGGCTAGTTGCCTTGTTGTGCTGGTCCACTTTGCCGCGGACCTTCTTGTCGTCTCGACCACCCCGTCCAGTTGTACCGAGATCGGATGTAATCTTATTTGCGCCGCCGGACCCAAGCGGAATGGCATTCGCAGAAGTGCCCTTCAGCTTTTCTTTATTTTTGTTGCCGTGCTTTGCCGAGCCTCCACCCAGCGGAATGGCGTTAGCGGAGGTTCCGGTGCCACCTCCGAGCGGAATTGCGTTGGCGGAAGTCGCGCTCCTGAAGGTCTTCTTGCTCGGGGGTGCGGCTTTGTCGTTATCTGTCTCACCCCGCCCCCCACCACGACCAACGGGCGTCGGCTCCTGGTCTTTTTTATTCCCGCCCCGATCCGTGCCGCGCCCCCGGCGCCGATCGTTCTTGTCATCATCTGCCGTACTGGCATTGATGTCACCCGTCTCATCCCGGGTGCGTTTTTTCCCAGCAGACGCAGTCGCAGGATCGCCTTTATCATCAGTGGTCTTCTTGGTATTTCCGGCCGTGTTTTTAATATTTTTACTGGATGGCGCGTTCTGATCGTCCTCTTCCGAAGAAACTTGAATCGAAAAAGCACGTTTTTTCTTCTCGTCCCCCTTGTCTTGTGTTTTCGCTTCGCGCTTGTTTCGTCCTGTTGACTTGTCTCGGTCCCCTCCACGCAGGTCGTGCTCGTCTTTTTTATCCCTCTTGTCTGCAGGTTTCACAGCATCTTTGTCTTTCTTTCCGCGGGAGCGGCTTCGGTGGTTGCCACTATTGTCGACATGGTCCCGACCACGCTTCTTGTTCTTCGCGTCCGCATGGTCATCTTCCACCTCGAATCGACGTCCACCTCCCTCGCGCTTCTCCTTTTTCCAATCCTCGTTGTCTTGTTTCTCTTTCTTCCGGTCCCGATGATCGTCATGCTTTGCCCAAATATCTTTTGCATCGCGATCTCGTTTTTCCGCGCTGTCGTACCTGTCGTCCCGGTCACGCTTCGCCGCCTCGTCCTCCTTTTTGTGATCGCGACGATCACGGTCGTCGTAACCTCCCTTTCGGTCTCGGTCTCGGTCCGTCCCACGCTTGCTCGTCGCCTCGTCATAAGCCTTTTTGGTCGTGTCCCGATCGCGGTCGCGCCTTCCCGGGTCGTCACGACCACCCCCGACTGGTGCGCGATCACGATCGCGGTCTCGCCTCTGGTCAACATGGTGGTCGCGTCGATCCCGGTCCCGCCCCCTTGTCCTGCTGGTTTCGTCGCGCCGTTCCGGCGCCCGGTCCCGGTCTCCTCGGTCACGCCCCCGCTCACGGTCGCGCTGCTCCCGGTCTCGCTCCCGATCGCGCCTCCGGCTTCTGCTATTGTCGCGTCCTCGCCCTCGGCTACGGGCGGCGCCGTCTCGCTTGTTCCCGTCGTTGTAAAGAGCGAAGCGTTCATCCCGGTCTCGAGTTTCGGCTTCCCGGGCCGCGATCTGCGCACGCACAAGGCGGTCCGCAGCGGCTTTGTCGAGGACACATTTACCGCCGCCGATCCACCAGCCGTCGTCCTTCTTCCCCTCGTCGTCCGGTTTTATCTTCCAGTTGTCCATATTATCCGACTTCATGAACATAACGCTTCCGTCCTCCAGACCGGCTTCGAACGCCATAGAAGGTGGCAAGGACACGTCCACGCCCGAGGCAGTTGGCTCAAAAGGCTTGCTCTCGTCGGACGCTTGCGGTTGCTCCTTGTTCGCGGCGTCGTGAGGTACCAGTTGGGCCACACCAGCCGCTGCAAGCGCTGCCGGCCCGCCGAGAACAGGCACACCAGTAGTCGCCGCCTCGTCATTTCTGTCGTTTTCGGTCTCGGGACTGGCCGCCGGTGCGCCGGCCTTGGAGACGCACAGCTGCTGGATTTCTTGCGCCCCCCCTGCATCCACAAACTCGGCCCAGGCTTCCTCAGCCTGCTCTAGGCGTCGCTGCTCGGTCATGATTTCGCCGTCGAAACCCGGAAAGTCGCAACGTTCGTGGGGTCCTAACCCGAAAATCTCGGTCCTTCCCCGTTGTCCGACCGTCGATGTCACTTCAGGCATCAGCTTCACGTCGTCCACGTCTTGACCTGGCTGCAGCGTCACCGCCTCCTCCACCTCCTCGAATCTCGCTTCCTGCATGGGATAATCATAATATAATTTTCGTTTTTCTTTCTGACCGAATAAACAAAATCCTTCTTGAGGCAGCAGCGCAGCTCCTCAGCGAAGAGAGAAACCTTCTTCAAGCAGCAGAAGAAGTTCTACTCGCAGTAGTAGATGATGTCATCGAACATCGTCCCCGACGGAGTGCAAAACTGTAGCTGTACTTCTCTTCATAGCACCACCAGCCCCCATTGGCTGATATGATTTATCATCTTCGCACGCCCATGATCGCCCGCCTAAAGCTAGACGATTGACTTGTGCTAGAACAAACGGCCTAAAAAATCAGAATAAGGACGCAAATGACCTATGTTGCTTGATGTGCTTGTAGTTCGGATTTTCCCTAGTATCCCCTCCTATTGCCTGTTGCACCAGATCATATATGATATCTCCAAGCAGTGCGCGATTCGAAATAGATTCATGTGCAACAAGTAGGAAAAAAGTACCTTGACAGATTCGTCCTCGCTGTCGTCCACCGCATCGTTGTCAAATATGTTGGTGTGTTTGTGCGAGTTCGCGAGCTTGTAGTCTTCGCTGCATCCAATATCGCGCGTGAACCATACGAGAAAGGACATCCGGGGGCCCTTGGTCACCTCAGCCACTTTGTGCTTCTTCGTTGCCCGGAAAAAGCCGCCCAGGTTTTTTTTGGGGCGGATGCGGTGCCATTTCGAGGCCGGGTCCGCGTCGCGGGGCGCCCGGCTGTTTTCGATCATAAAGTCGCCACCCTGGAACGTGGCCTTCTGGAAATTGACTTTCTGTTTCTTTGTCGACCCGTCGCTCTCGACGTTGGCGTCCGCCTTCATATCGATGTCCCCTTGTTCATCTTTCCCCTTGCTGTCCTCCCCGTCCTCTTGTTTCTTGGTTTTCTCCGTTTCTTTATCATTCTTCTCGTTGTTCCCTTCCTTGTCCCCTTCGTCCTTAGCTTTGCGAGCGTCCTTCGAACCCCCAACCTTACGGTCCTTTTCCCTTGGCGGAGGGGACCGGCGGCCGCGGGAACCACGGCGACGTCGGCGGTCTCGGTCTCGGTCCCGGAGTTCCTTCTCCCGTTCTGCCCGCTCCTTCTCCTTGCGGGCCTTCTCGGCTTTTTCTTCTTCAGTCGGTTCCTGGTCGTTCAGCCAAACCACACAACTCACGAAACGCTTCCGCAGGTGGTCCGAGGGTCCGTTGTCCTATCAAGTGCAAATATGTCTGGGATGGGGTCTGGAAGATTGCATTTTGTATAATTTCTATTTATATTTCATATATAAAAAGAAAAATACATCCAGTTTTTGCTACGGCGAGAGGGCTGCAACATCTCTCATGTGGTATAGGCATCAGGATGAAGCTGCCCTCACAAAAGACATTCTGTCTCTGTGATGCCTGGGAAAAGAAGTGCACCACAGACATTATCATCACAGGTCAACATGTGAAATGTGTCATATGGCATACGTTGCATTTTTCTTTCCAGGAGACCCAGACATATTTGCTGCAATGGATATGTCCACATGTTCGTCGATCCGGGCGGATTTCATCCAGGTTAGCAGAGCGGTGCACTCCACGAAGTAGATGTCGCTGATCATTCCGGGCCGCGGCGCGCGGCTGGGAGCCTCTCCGAGGCCCGGGGGCCGCAGGGGGGCGAGTGGGTCTGCAGGTCGCTGCACTGGTACTACCTGCTGCAGCTGCTGCATCGCGGCCGCTTGGCCGGCGGGGGTTCGCCGCATCTGCATCATCATTTTCTGGTTCTTCCCCTTCATCGTCTGTGCTCCCCCCGCAGCGGGAGCAGGAGCGCCGAACATCTGCATTTGCTGCATGTTCATGTTGTTCATCATCATGCTGTTTCCTTTATTCATATTCATCGTAGAAGTACCGGCCGCCATTCCCATTCCACCCATCATCCCTGGCTGCATATTACCAGTTGCCATGCCCATGCCACGCATCGGCATCGTACCCGCCCCGAACTGCTGCTGCATCATATTCATGTTCATCTTACCGGCAGCTGCCATCCCGGGGATCCCGAGTCCTTGCTGCATGCCGGGCATTCCAACGCCAGGAATGCCGAGCCCTTGCTGCATGCCGGGCATTCCGACGCCGGGAATTCCGAGGCCCTGCTGCATACCCTTTATGTTCGAACCCGGAATTCCGAGTCCTGCTTGCATCATCGCGCCTTTGTTCGCAGCCGGGAAAAGAGCACCTCCGGTTGGTGTACCGATTCCACCACCCACAGCTCCCAGTTGCGGCGCTGCGCCGGGAATTCCCAGCCCCTGCTGCGTCGGTCGGGCATCCATAGAAGCTAAGCCGCCGGCGCTGAGCCTCTTGTTGCTTTCCTCCGTTTTCATCCCTGAGATTTGTTCGGTCTGCTGCATTGTCTGAGGCTGTTCGTTGGCCGCCCCGGAAGAAGCCAGTACCGCTTCGTCTTTCTTCTCAACCATTGCATGCCCATTCGCTTGGTGCTGGTGGTCCGCTGCGTCGTTCTGTGCCTGATTGGAGTTTTCCGTTGCAGGAGCGGAGGAGCATGTATCAATTCACAAAATTGCAGGAGCCCCCGAGCAGGAGCGCACTCAGTTCGACGTCGTGTGGGTGCCGGTGGTGCGATCAAGATTTATACCAATGGCAATGTATCTGGGTGGTGCGCTTTTTCTTTTTGTTCATGTTCTCGATCGCCCAGTATTATTTTCTTGCTCACCCTCACGAGGAAAACTGGGCTCGTCTTTTTTGCCACGGTGCAGTAAATCAAATTCACAGCACGAGCAGAAGTCCAGTGCGTCTCAACACCTCCGTTTCTTGCAAAGCCAAAGGCAAAGACTGAGAGTGTGACTGCACAATGCAAATTAGAATTTCGGGACATCAGAGTGTAACAGACACTATAGGAGGCATGTACTGAAAAACATAGAGACTAAATCTCGAAGATGCTGCGCTCCTGTTCATGTTGGGGGCAAACGTTGCAATGCTGCGGTTGATACCCTGCTGCATTATCAGTGTTTGCGTTGTTCAGCATGGCCTCGCGGCTGAAAGCTTCATTTGTTTGGCAAGAAGAACCTGATTTTTTCCCACAGTTTGCGATCAGTCCTTCGTGGCTGAACGCCTCAGCGGAGGAACTACCGTCTTCACCACTGGCATCGGGTTCTGCCAACGCGGGCGCCTCTGGTATCGCGATTTTGCCGGCAACAGGTACTCTCTTAATCGGCGCGGACGCAAGAGCAGCTGCAGCGCTCATCGCAGCTTTTTCCTGTTCGGTGTATGAAAACCAAAATCAACGCACTAAAGTTCTTCCTCCACCCCACGAGCCCCTGTGATTATTAATTTCCATGTACTAGTAGAAAAAGTGCCTCTCGTTGGATTATCCTGATATTGTGTGTCCCTCGTCGTGCTAAGCATAGCAATACCCCTGTAGCATGGTACTACAAACTGCTTCGGGAACTTACATGCTCTTGTCCATGCGTCGATATGTTTTCCTTCGCATAGCACATCAATTTTTCATAAAACTAAAGCAATTCATTTTCACATGAGTGCTTTAAATAATCAGGGGATCAACGCAGCTGATTCTGAGCCAATCTGCCGTCGTGAGTGGAGCTGAACTTTTCATCTATGGTTTCGGTTTTCGTATCTGCTTGTTCATAAGGTGCATGGCAATATTCTTGTAGGTCTGCTGCGCACGGCCGCGAGCTAGCGGATTCACGGGCCTGTGGGTACATTCATAGGTAAAAAATGTATCAGTCAAAGAGGAAAAAAGGACGTGCTCCATAACTTCACTTCCTTTGCGTTTGCTTCATCAAAATTTCCGCTAGAAGATTTTGATTTCAGCGTTCCTGTCGACTGTTGGGCATGCTACTTATCTTATTTCCTATTGCGAAGAAGGGCAAGATAAAAAAAATCTGCAGCGCTCTACTACTTAAACTTATTTACCCCGTGTTCTTCTTTTCTTTCTTTGGCTGGCCCCCAATCGGCATGATCGGGTAGTGCTTTTCGACCTGCTCGCGGCAGATCCGGCGGGCCCGAATCAACGCCGGCAGCGCCCAGCGCGGGGCAGACGGAAAGGTCGTACTTAAAACATTATCCCGGTATCCGGGAACGCCAGTGACCTTAGCGATCATGATCAGTTCCCGGACCAGCGATTCCGGAAAAATATCTTGCTCCAGACTGATGTCGGGCTCGCAGCCCCACTCGTCCGCCCCAAATTTGATAAAGTCCTCCTCCATTTTTGCTGTCCTCGACGGCCTCAGCTGTACTTGGTAGAATTAATAGTACTACCCAGCGATAGAACGAAGTACGTCTTTTTAGATGTTCCGTTGGTGCTCGTCCCCGGAGACGGTGCGTCGTGCCTGAGTTGTTTGAAAAGCAACGAGCGTTTGAATTCCCTGGTAAACAAACTGATGATGTTAAGAGTTTTTTATTCCTAAAGCCAGCATCTTCACCGGGGAGGAGGTGATGGTCTATTAATTTCTGAAGATCATGGCGCTGGCTGCACTTCGCCCATCATTCATGACCAACACCATGATAAATCTAAAAATTTCTATATTCATCTTCATAAAAAAGACATGTTGATGGTGAGGACACGAGGTTGAGCAACCTGTACTTACTTGCTGCTTTTCGGTGAACTTGTTTCTCAGGGACAAGAAAGAGCTGCAAGTCCTCAATGCCAGTCGTGGGTAGTTTGGGTTTGTAGTAGTACCAGCACCCGACTGCAGGATCTCTGCGCACCCTCCACCAAAAGAACTACGTACGCGCAGGTCGGGCGGCCCGTGTAGAAGCAAACAATGAATTCGTCCTACTTGTCCGTTAGTTCTTCGCACAAAAATGGTCGTCGTTTGATGTCTTCGTATCAATCACAATCTATTAGTCGTTCCGGTGTCTATGTCGCTGTCGTTTCTTATCGCATACGGGTTCGCATTTTGTGTACTCCTGTAGAAGAAGCGCCAGTCAAAACCAAAAGGAAAGGGGAATACACATACATTTGGTGTCGGTAGTTCTTTTGTTTTCTTATAACCTAAACCTACATCTATCTGCTTTCCTACTTGCTCCTTGGAGTTTAATCAAAACGGTTACGATGAGTGGCGGGAAGATCATTACTATCTTTTCAAAGCGAGCCGGGCTTGAAGAACTTGATCGCTAGTACGTCTTTTCAATGCGAGCCATGATTGAAGAGATCTTCATCACTGTCAGAGTTTTTCTCCGCAGGCGGCGCAGCCGCATCAACAGCTTCTTCGTCCTAAAGCCGATCGCTAAGGAAGAGTACTAATTCTTCCCTTTTTTGGAACCGCATATCATGGTCGAAAAAAGCAAACACACACACGCGCTAGGCTATATGCTTCCTTAGTCTTACAACAATCACAATCACTTCTATACAACTTGCTACATGAAAACTCGCGTACAATGTGTGAAACTGTGCGGTCTTGGAGGTATGTATAACTATAACATGAACCAGAAAAATGAGACCGTGAGACGCCAATTGTAGTTTCACGCGTGGCGGCTGCTTTTCGAAATTGTATTGTATTTGATCCGCTCTTGTTTCAAACAGACGCGGCGCCCGCTCTTTAGCCCTGCTATACTTGCAGCAACCCGCCGGACAGCGAGGCTGTGGAGGCCCGGCGAAACGTAACCCTCCTACGCAGTCGCCACATCAAGTGGCGAGAGCTGGAGGAGAACAGCGCGCTGGAGGTTTGTGGCCTTGGCAGACCGGCTCTTGCACTCGTTCCGTATAGTAGCACCAATGAATCAGAGGGCGCACACCAGGTGGGCAACACAGATTGATTATACTACGGCGAAAGGATCCCGATTCGCGCTACCTGGGCGCGTCCTTTAATTGTCGTCTGACTTTAGGCCGGACACTATCTGTGCGGGAAGGGCGCGGCCCTTCTCCGCCATGGGCGGCGCGCGCGCGGGCGGGCGCCCTTCGTCAAGAAGGGCGGCGCCGGCCCCGCCAGGGGGCTGGGGGTGCCCGCCGCGGCTTTCCCGAATAGCGCAGGCCCCACCGCTTCCTTCCATCCCCGGGAAGTGCCGCAAGCTGCTGCGCGCGGCGTAGGGCGCTAGGGCTTACGGCGGTGCGAGCGTGCCCACTAATTCGGCCGAAGGCCGAGAGGGACACACCATGCCGGGCCTCTTTGCACACGACGCGGCAACACACCCGAGGGCCATCCTCGGAGTGGTCGGGCAGGGTGTGGCGCTGGGCTGTTCAGGTTAAGCCGGCCGAAGCCCCACAACCATCTCACCCAAAAGAGACGGCGAGGCGCCTCGCCTGCTCACCAGGAGCCTGCAAGGCTCGCCCGCTTCCAGAGCGGGGCTCTTCTTCAAGAAGAGAACACCCACCAGGGGTAGGGGGATCGCGCGCAGGATTGCGGGCGCCGCCCTTCTTCACTCGCCAGGAGCAGCGGCGTATTGCCGCTTAGTTTGCGCGATTCGATGCGTCTACTTCTAGTAGCGCATCTGGGCACAAGGCCCCTGTCACGACTTCCCTTCCCACCAGGGGCGGGCGCTGCTTTTCGAAATCGAAAGTTCAAATTCGTGCTGGTCGTGCTCATTAGATTGTGATCCTTCACTTCTCTTGCAGAGCACAACAACACGTTCAGATGCATGTTGAGCTTCCTGATTTTTACCACTTTGTAGGATCCGATGAACGGCAAAGACCTCCAGCTGGGTGGTTCTCTAGCATGAATACTCAATCAGAATTATTATCATCAAATATCATCGGCTGCGTTGGTCATGTTGTCAGAAATAAAGATGGAATGATTGCTTTTCTGTAGTTTTGGATCTCGATAATATTACGACAACTGAGTAGCTTTTTGCACAGACGCCACTCCCTCGCTCACACACATAAATGTGGTGATCGCCTTGACTTTGACGATGATGAAATGAAAAAAGTAAAAGAGTACAACTAGCATTTTGATTTCATCGTATTCGTTCTAATATTGTGTTTTTCCTCTGTGGAAAAATGACTACGGATAAGACCTGCTCTAGGCGCTCTGCTTGACCTCGGAGCTCTGTCGTAGTGTGTGAACTGGTAGTAGGTCCTTTCCTGGAAGAACCGGCGATCAAGCTGTAAACAGAAAGAGTCAAACAGACCTTGTTGCGTCAAGTGTTCGTGTTTGCGTTTATTCCTGCTTTTAGGTCGTGCTTCATGATCTGAACAACAGCACAAGTGGCTAGCCCTCAGAACAACTCAACTGAAACTTCAGAAACGGAGAGGCCCAGCCCCGGCTCTGCCTGCAGCCAATCTTTGATGATGGTAAACGTAAAAGTGGTTTCTTTTGCCACCATATTTTTCGACGTTTCGGAAAAAAATGTTCTCATCAGCTTTTCGATGTCGTTCTGTCTTCGAGACGAAGCACCTAGCAACTCCGCGCCTAGTTTGTTTTACTCTGTCAGGAACATCCCAGGCAGATGAGCAACAACCTCACTACCACTTCGACCATTCACCAGCAAGACCACCATAATCTGCAGAAGAAGAAGAAAATTGTAATGTACGTTACAAAAGTGCTTTTCCTCTTCCAGCTCATCATCCGATCGCGGTTTCTTTATGCGCCAGGTCGAGGCCACTTCAATTATATCTATCTACCGATGGAGACGATATCGTAGTCGTACATACTAGCGCAATACCATTCTTGCCTCTTTTAGTTCGATCGAAGTGATTGCCGTGAGTTGAGACCGGCCTGCACGCAGTCGCATTCTAGAGTTAGAATTAGACGACCTAGAGCGAAATTCAGTAGACTGTTTCGCTCTTCAAGATGAAGATCTAGTTCTGATAATAGACCAGAATGCTCTACAATTGGTTCGTCACTCGTGCCGATTAGATCTGAATCTCCTTGCTCATTCCTTTCGGAGAAATGCTTCGTTATCCTCCAGAAAAGTACCCCTACACCCCTACTTACCAGGACAGGTACAAGTACTGCTTGTACTTGTATCATGCCTACTAGGCATGATACAAATTCATATTTGTGTTGCCACGTAACCTAAACATTGTCAACGGTGCATTTTTTCATTCGGACGTAAGTGGAACAGGTTACGCACTTCTAATTGTGCGCGCAAACCTAGCAGGGGGTCCATGCAAACAATTGTTTCAGTAATCCATTGGCAGGATGCCACCACAGGAATCAGAAATGCAGACAAATTTGCATATGCGATTTTTTTTCTTATGCTTTTGCTTTTCGTTTTCTTGGCTCTTCAGCATGGAAAACTTTTTCGATACCCCTCTAGTCGCTAGCCAGCTAGCACGTGCATGCATGATATGTTGGATATAAGTAAATCAAAATCAAAATCTGATAATTCCATTTTGCATCCAAAAAAATGCCATTCTTTGGATTTGGTCTCCGCGACGTTACGAAGTTTAAGTTTTTAGTGAAAGGACAACTTTAGCTTTTTGAGCAACACAAATTTTAGTTGAATTTTGTTCATCTGGCGGGTGTGGGTGTACAACTTTTTTTGGGGGTATTCTTTCCTCGCCACAGAGTCCGCAACTGCGCGCGCAGAAATGGAAGGCCAGGGCAGGTTCACGCTTGCAAAAATCGAAGGTGGAGAAGTATTGGCATTTCGGCATGGGAGTTCGACCAATCGGCTTTCCGGAGTCGCAGCTCTCTGCCAGCGCATGGGTCAATCCGTAGGCGTTTCGTTCGAGTTCCGCCAAACCGTTGCTTAATCCAATGAGCCCGACTTTGGCTTTGCTCATGCTCGCCCTACCCTGGGCAGGACTGTTGTACGAGGACCCCAAGGTCGGGGCGGACGCTGAAGACGGGCGCGTGACGTATCTTCTCGGCGGTGGTCCCACTCGCGCACCCCGGCCGCGAGAGCCCCCTAAAGCTTTACGCGAAGAAGCGGAAGCACTCCTACTACTTTCAACAGGCGAGGTAGCCTGCCTATTCCCCTCGTCGTCCTGCACCTCGTCGGCTATGGTCAAGAAGCCTTTGCCGCATCATAAAGAAAAACAGCTAACACATACATTCTCCAGCACGTTTGATTTGAAGATGGTACGCCCAGCCCCGCCCCCGTTGTTCTTCATCTCCGCGATCATGCAAAGTATCTTTTGTATCGCCATAGCGTGTGTGTGATTCTTTTCGTGCAAACCATTTTTAGAAAAAATGTAAATCGTCCATGTGCTACTGTTTTTCTGCGGGATATATCTATCCCGGAAACCGCCCCTGTTGCACCAGGTGTACTCGCGGAGCTCACCACATCTTCAGCATAGGTTAGCCCGGGTGCAAGCCGAGGTTTGAGTGCGTGCTGAACTAGAGACGAACTGGGGTGACCAACCTGGCCGCGACGGGCAGTTGCGGTCGAGGAGCGGCTAGCTGTCCCCGGAGTCGTCCCGGAGGTAGCACTCGCCGGAGGTGGGTCTTGTCCTGTCGTAGTCGTACCGATACCGAAGAACAGGTCCCGTTGTGCCATTTTCATGTCCTTCTTCAGCGGAGCGAGTCCGACGCGACGGTTTTGGATGTCAAAAACCGCTGCATAGTGGCGGAAAAATTGTTGACCCAATATCCACATGGGTTTCAATTCCGAAGGCAAGTCGATGTTGTGCAACGCCAGACCGCATCCATTTTTGTCGCTCTCGAATGCGTACGCTTCCGGTGGCAAAGATATCACTTTCCTGTTTGAATAAATGATTTTAAACTCATTCTTACTTTTCGCACCTTCATCGCTTGACGCAACAACTCACAACGTGGCTGTTGGTGCGATGTTGAGGATGTTGGGAAAATGAAGATGCAAATTCAAGACGAAGACACAAACAAGAAACTACGTACTTACATTGTCATTCAAAGAAACGAAAACCAAAGCGACCAAATGATACCCGCTGTCAAGCACAAACTCCACGGTCGAAAGCGTTTTCAAACCTCCTCGTGACGCGTGGCAGGGCCCGATCAGTTCGAGCAGCTGCCCCAGGTCGCTGGTCGGGCCCATCGAGAGACTTGACCCTGTGTCCAACGCGATGCGAGATGCGACGGGATTCTGAAGCTCTTGTTCACCCACACGAACTTTCTGTACGCCGACGGCCCAGTACCCAGCTGCGTCGGGTAGAGTCGGCGCCCACTCCAACCCCTCCTCTAGGTGACGCTCCTCATCAGGCAACTCGTTTACCTTCAAATCAAACAAATTGCATTCGCTGCTCATTCAACACGACTGCGCTTGTTCGAGGTCTATCTGTGTTGTGAAAACAGAAGCTACTGCGTTTAATGGATCCTGCACATCACTTGTTCTATTAACTGCTTGCTTTTCACTTGTACCTGCAAAGAGCAACATCTACATCTAGCTACGTGATGCATTTTATAATTCTCTGACAACTAGTACATTTTTTTCGTAAATCCATGGACGATGCCGAAGATTTTCATAAGTAAAAGTATTTTCATTTGACTTTGTCGAAATGCAAACCTGAGCAAAGGTGTCCGGTGAAATTTTGATACATATGTTCTTTTGGACTAGTAAGTCTGAAGCGAAACACAGTTCACGACTAATTGCTTCTTGTATAAAGTGCGATGAAATATGCAGCAAGAGAATGCTGGCAGTACCAGGACTTCTGGCTTCTGCATCCCGAGAAGAAAAGTGAAGTGCGAGGGCGCGAAGGCGGTTGTGTCCTGAGTAAAAACGTACCCACACCAGAGTCAGGATGGGGATTTTGCAACACAAGCCTAGGAGTTTTGTGAGTCACGCATGACAAGTTGCGCTATGCAGTGTAGTGCAGGCTAGCAAGTGCAGCCGCATCACAGATTCATCTGCTCATCCTGTTCACAGCGTCACAAATTCCAAAACACGTCGATTGGAAATGGCTCTCATGGGGATGCGCATTACAAGTCTTCCTCTCTTTGCAAATCTGCATTACAACTCTGGTGTGGGTGGGTTTTTCCTCAGGATAGGTTGGTACGTTAAACTTAGCGTTGGCACTGAGCTCCGGCAGCGACAAGCCGAGGATTCCGTCAAACGGCAGATCCCCAAAGGGAAACCGACTCTCCTCCTTCACGCCGAGAAAAGCCACTGGAGTACAGTGGCTAGAGCCCAGGCAGAGGGCGTCCTGCATGTAGTTCCCGGTAATCTTCCCGGTTCCGTACGTGATGGTCGTCGCGTTATTGTGAGGAAAATTCCCCCCTCGTGGTCCCCAACCCCATGACACATCACGTAAAAGTACTTCACAAACGGAGAGTTTTTTGCTATGCAGAAGAGTTTGTGGCCTGCTTAGGCGGGAAGAAAGAGCTTGAGCTAGAACAAGGTGCTTGCTGCAGGCCATCTGTAAAAAAGATGCGTTTTAACATAGAGCAGAAGTTGTAGAGACAGACGCCCTCCTGCTATTGATTCCTCTGTATCTTTGAGTTATCTATGCAGGAAAAATGTACAGCGCAAGAAATAGAAATCGGTGTTTGAATATAAAAGTGAGCCCAGGGGTGGACAAGATTTATTTCTACGATACGTGTCCCGGAGGCGTTCCAACTGAGCGACACGTCGATCACGGGCCAACTTCTGTCCCGGAGACTCGATCCTTTTTTTGCTACTCTTCTCGTCCATGCTTCTCTGCGCGAGGGTCACCTCGCTGCCGGACGAGGACGAGCCACTAGTAGAGCCAATGGAAGTTGATGATGTTCCGCTTGTTCCTGCGAGTAAGGCCGACCGCGGCTTGCTCCTAGAATTGATGTTCCCAGATGTACTTGACGATGAAGATGATGAGTCGTAGAGCATGCTGGATACACTAGCAGTACCGGGCCAGTGGAACCAAGAGGACGCCTCGAGGGGGCTCGCGCCAGCAGCGGTCGCATCATCAGCTTCGTCCGCGCCGTCGGAGGATGAACTAGTACCGCGATCCGTGTCAAACACGGTTCCCTGCAGGTCTAGCAGTTGGACGGAGGAGGTTGAAGCCGCGGGCGAAAAGCGGTGGTGCACAGTGCAGGCCTCCTCGACGCAGTAGTCCGATGGAATCACCAGATTGCCACTCCCCGTGTCAAAGACCACCTCAAACTCCTGTGGCGGGTTTCCCACTGTAACTGTGCCGTAGAATTGGGCCACGGGCACCGTTGCCTCAGGGTCGGACAGATCCCGCCGCATCTGGGGTCGAAAAGACGTCTGGTATTCCTGGAGGAAGACGGCACCGACGGCTCTCATGAGAAGTGACGAAAACGACCCAGCACACAGCAAGACGGAGCCCTTCACTCCCAGCAGCGCCGCCATGGCACCGCTGCAGGGTGAAGCCGCAAAAATACTACTAGGTGAAGCCGAAGATGAAAACTTTCTAGAAGTAGACCACCTGCTAGTACGCCGTGCAGCTGTAGTGGACATCTTCGCAGGAGGTGCTGGCGTCTCTGACGCTCGTGTTCTCTTTATGATCCTGCTGCTAGGAGGTGACAAATCCGCGTACTTCTGCCGCTGTTTATCTACTACGTCCCTTGTTCTGATCATATCGTCAACGTCATCGTCCCCAAAATCCGTCATGTGTCTGCTGCGTCTGCGTGAAAAGAACTGCATAGTTGCGTAACTTCTTTGCAGGCCGCCTCAGCTGCAAATCCAATCACCATCTGAGATTGTTCAGAAGAATCAGAAGAACTCTGCACATCACGACCTCATACATTCGCCTTGCCCTTTTAAGTACTTAAATTAGGTATACACTCTGACACTCACTACACTCACCTACCAACGATCACACATCAAGAATGACAGACGATTAATCGACTCTGGTGCCACTCACCCTCATCTCATCTCCATCAATCCAAACACAACAAACTTCTCGACTAATCATTTTCGCTGCAATTACCTCCTCTTTAGCATCTGCTTAGCATCTGCTGCTTCACCAACAACCACGATTCGATCTCAAAAAAGAAGTAGCATGATCTACAAGTACAATTCGAATTGCGATCAAACAAATGAAGTTCTCGTCATCATGGGATTGATCATGCAAACTTTTCACCTATTCATCCCTGCTTCACATTAATGCCACGACCGAGGTGGCACTAATATCATAGTCAATTTCTAATTACTAAGAAACTTACGGCTACGCCCATGCATCGCAGCGCCGGCTCTCTCCGTCAGAGCCAGAGGCAAGGGAAAGGGGTTCTTCTTTTTTGTAAAGTATAAGAGCAGCTTATCAGACTCAGACATCACAATTTATGTGGAGTTCGTCTTCGTCGAGTAAACACAATTTTTCCGTGCAACCAACAGTAACGCCAAAACGAAAACTTAACCTTCTGGTGATTCATTTATAGTCAAAGTTGCAGTTAATCAGTATGTGGGAAGCTCATGCTCTTCCCTTTGTTGAGGTGAAACTCCAAGTATGAGAACAAGAAGTTGTAATAAACTCAAAGTACTACACGAACAGGAGCTCGTCCTAGCGCTCGAATCAACAGTGGGAAGCAAAAATAACTTTTAGGTCTTTTTTCTTTTCATCTCTTTGTTTGTCATGCAGAAATAAAGCTTGTGGCAGCGGCGCAACCCTCGCAAAATCTCTACCATGACTAGCGAAAAGTCAGAAAACCCATTATTTAATAGTATTCCGCAATAAAAACAAAAAACGAAAACGAACAATGGAAACGAAAAACGAAAACAAAAAACGACAACGAACAATGAAAACGAAAAACGAAAACAAAGAATGAAAACGAAAAACGAAAACAAAGAATAAAAACAAAGAATGAAAACGAAAAACGAAAACAAAGAATG